GGGCGCAGCTTCGCCCCCGCTGAGCGGGGAGTCCCGCGTGGTGTTTGTGCGGGGCCCGGGTTGCGGTTCCGAGCTCTGCATTCGGGGTTTTTTAAGTCGGTTTCTGTGGAACTGAAGAACTCGGTGTCGTTCGGGGCCGGTTGTAGTTCTGCCTTCCCTTCCCACGCTGAGGAGCAGAGGGACTTTATAAACCGGTGCTGCTACAGCACCGAGTCTTTACAAAACAGCGTGATATCTTAAAAACCACCTCAGGACAGAAGCAAATGCACGTGTGGGAGCTGCTTCCCTGGGTGTCCCAGAGCCACAGTGGTTAGTGGAGCATGGAGGGAGAACAGAGGTGCCTGGAATGTTGATGTTCCTCTTTTCCTCTCCTCCTCCGTGGTTTTGCAGAGGTCCAGGATCCAGGTGTGGCTCTATGAGCAGGTGAACATGCGGATAGAAGGCTGCATCATTGTGAGTACCAGGACACCCCCTCGGGCTCATTTTCCTTGTAGTTTTTAATTCAGATTCATCAAACTCGTTTCTTCCTGGCAAGACAAACTAGCCGAGGTGGGGGGGTGGGGGGGAGGGTGGAAACACCTCACCCCTCATCAGTGAATGCTCTTTAATTGTCCAGCCCACCTGATGGTCGTTGGTATCATTGTTGATGAAGTTTCCCCCGGGGAGCTTTGCTCACTGACTGATTTTTGTGGATGATTTTTAGGGCTTTGATGAATATATGAACCTGGTGCTGGACGACGCAGAGGAGATTCACTCCAAGACAAAGTCCAGGAAGCAACTGGGTGGGTCGGTGTGCGTGTGAGCTGAGGGGGCCTGGGAACAGCAAGAGTGTTGAGGCTGAAGCACAGGGAGCAGATACTGGCTGGGTCTTGGTTTCTGCTGTTTCTTGAGCTGCTTTGGTTGAAGGTGTTGGATGATCTGCCTCCTCCTGAGCCGAGTTTTTGTGTTTTAAATGTGTGTGGTCAGGGCTGTGTTCTGCTTCAGGCTGTGAGGGCTGTAGGGCTCCAGGCAAACTCCTCCAGCTCCCAGGCATCTCCTGTGTCCCCCTTGAGTTCCAACTGGGAGTGGTGGGACTCACCATGAGGGGGACAAAGAGCAGCCTGTGACAAGTGAGATGTCTGGGCTGTCAGTGGGGACAGAAGCTGAGCAGACACAGGGCTCTGCTGTCCCTGCCAGGCTGTGGTGTGAGCTCTGAGCAGTGCAGCCCTTGGGAAGCTCCTGATAAACAACTTGTTGCGTGAGCATCTTCCTGGGAGCACCTGGGATGTTGGGAAGCATGTTTTAGAAATGCAAGGTTATCCCTGGAGCCTGGGATCTCTCTAATCCCCCCCCCCCTTCCCTTTCTCTGTGTTGCAGGTCGGATCATGTTGAAAGGGGACAATATCACCCTCCTGCAGAGTGTTTCTAACTAGGATTGGTTGCTTTTCAGTCAAGCAGTGGTTCTGGGGCTCCAGAGGGGATGAAATGCTGGTGGGAGCAGGACAGGCTGGTAGGCAGGAGGTTGTGTGTAACTGGGATCACGATCAGAGCTGAAAACTGTGTCTCTTTCTGCAAGTCATGTTTGTTGTTTTTTTTTGTAGTTTGAAACAAATGACAATGTTTGGTGCAAATAAACATTTTTTCACTGTAAAGGGAGATCTGCTTGTTTCAGTCTCTGCCCTTCTGGGAGGAGAGAAGTGTGTTCAGGGTGATTTTCACTGTGGATCTCTGGTGAATGTCTGGATGTGGATCTGGGAGGTGACATGGGCTTTGGGTGGGCAAGGTGGGCTCGTTCAGGACCCTTCAGCCACCTGCAGTCCCTGAGGGTTTGTAGGGAGGGACTGGGGTTGTCTGCTGATCCAGCATTTATAAACTTCATTGGTAGGGGTGTTGTAAAGCAGCTTTTCAGGTCTGAGAAGGAGAGAGGTCAGTTGGTTTG